CATACAGGCCAAGACATCATGTTAAATGTTTTATGAGAAAGTGTTTTCTTTAAACTTCACACACGAACAAAACATTATTGCACACAACTCCTGAAGCTTACTCACCTGGGGAGAAAGGGGGCAAAGGGTGAGTAAAGAATACTCAGTGAGGGAAATCAACTATGCCCACTGAAACATAGAACACTTTCTCAAGGTATACAACCATAATCATGACATATAAACTTAAACACAAGCAATCAACTTAAAATGCTTTAACTTCTAACATCACATTCATAACAACCATCTTATCCATACTAACACACACATACATATCGTTAGGTCCAGTCATCCTCGTGACGACTAGCACCTCACGAGTAGAGGCTGGCCCTCGTGGCTCAGATACTCCCATGTATTCCGGGCTCGTCAGCCTTTCTTGACCAGCATGTAACCCGTCGGCCCATCATTGTCCACACGTAAATCATTCTCATACATACTCATCATCATACTTAACATAGCATACATAACATCACATTATCAAACATCATATACTACCACATATCAAACTCAACAATCATCAAGTCATAACTTCATGTAATCTTATCCTCTACAATCAGATCTAAGCCTACACATCATGCGTCAAAGAGCATAACAAAAGAAAATGATACTATGCTTCGCTAATATCACCCTCACCTTGGTCACTTGATGACAACAGCTCACTTCTCCTTTCTTCTCTTTTAAACCAATTTACTACAAGAGCTTTAATTGCACACTCTTGGGATTCATCTTGGTTCTCCTTCAACAAAGACATAAGTCCACAATTCATGAAGCCTCCTGCAAGGTTTCAGCTCAAACCGAACTCATTTACCCAACCAATAACACAAACTCGTCACAATTTACTTCATACAAAACTGTCTCGGAAACATACTCATAAGTCAATAACTAACTGTTATAAACGTAATCCAACCATTGAATATGTAGCCAGTAATATCACTAAGAACTCCACAAATTTACATCTAGATCAGAGATCCTTTCGACCTCCAAACGTCGCCATCAATATCCCATCTTGAAACTGTTTTTTGGTTTATACTTAGCATAGATTTGGACAGTTTCTACAGTTATTTGCTCAGGAAGAAACACTCATAACTTCTTGAATACAACCCCGATTCAAACTCCGTCAGTTGCTGGAGATTCATGGCAATGAGAGGTTTCCAGAGACGTCTTACTCGTCATCTGATTCTCTCTGGTATGACGGGAATTATCCCTTCAAAACACCTTCTTGAAACTGTTCTTCCTCCTTCCTCTTTTCCCTTCTTCTTCTTTCTTTTTCTTCCCTTCAACTGATCTCAATACCACCATCTCTGATTGGCTAAGAAATAGACTCATCAGTGCTTTGCCATCTTTGTGAAATGATCTCGTCTCCATCGCCATTGATTCCGGTGATGAACGTTTAAGATCCGTAACGTCTCCTCCATCTCCACTTCCATTTTCTCCGTCACAACTAATCTCTTCCCATCCTTCTATCCTTCTTCGACCAAGGGAACGTGGTCGTTGGGAAAACACAACACGATCAATGGTGGAAGAGACACGAACAAGACGATGACGGCGATAGCAAAGGCTCACGACAATTCTTTCTCTTTATTTCTTTCTATCAGCAAAAATGGCTAGGGTTTACTAATCTTAACGGCAAGGAAGATGCTTGCATATTTACATATACACATGTGCCAACAATGACTAGGCTTTGACGTTTTTGTGGCTTACCAATCACACGGGCTTAATTCAAAAACAAAACAAAAAAACCCACAATTGTGGGAGAGGGGTATTACATTTTAGATGCAAACCACTGATTAAACGGTCATCTTATTTACATATATTAACAAATTTACTATTATGACCTCTAATTACAATAAACAAAAATTTCATAATTTTATAAATAGGACAATATTTATATTAGATGATTTAATAAGTAGTATAACACAGCTATAAATAGTGTTTTGTATTGCACATTATATATAATAAATCTATATTTTAAAAATAATTAAAATACTGCATTTTTAAAATTTAAACATATATGTTTATATAATTTTAGTTGCCTATAAAAAAAATAAAAAAATAAACAATACTAATTTGACCAGCAATTCGTGCAACGCACGGGTCCATATCTAGTTATATATATAAATTTGATAGACTCCCTGTTCTAAAAATTCCCACATAGTTCGATTACTCCCCGTTTAATCGCTAGGCCATCCTATCCACCTCGATTAATGACAAATCTCTTAAAGAAATCAGTCACCCAATTACTCTCCGCCTAATCCGATTATTTCCCGCCTAATCTTAGATATCCCGATTATTTTTGGATTGCAAGTATAAAAATTTTTTTGTTATTCAAACATTTGAATTTGGAGTTTATGATGTTTTACAATAACTTATGTTCAAATTTTAATAAAAATCATAAATATTTTAATAAAAATTTGTCTTAAAATACATTTTTATGTGTTTACTGCAATTTTGAAAATAATATTAGATTAATATATTTTAACAATATTAAAATAACCCTAAAACTAGTCCTCGATTAATTCTCAATTTTAATCCGATTTTTCGATTAATCGCTAGGTCCATACCAAACGTCCGATTAGCATCTAACGATCTTGACTCTTGCGTTGCGTTGCGTTTGCGTTTGCACTTGCGTCCTTTTTTTATTCGATTTGTGGAAAAAGAGAACATTTCTCTTTTCTCCTTATTCCCTCTGCGAGTTACAGTCAAATGAGTCAGCTACCTTTATATTCGATTTTGAGCGTTCCTTATTTCCTTCACTGAGAAAAAAAAAAACACACACAGAAAGAGAGAGAAACCATGGAAATGGAAGGAAGAAGACGAGAAGTAGTTGTGTCATCTCTCCAATTCGCTTGCTCCGACGATATCTCCACCAATGTCGCCGCCGCTGAGCGGTTCGTCTCTCTCCCTCTCTCTATCTCTCTCTGATTATCAATCTCTCTCATCTTCCTCCTCCTTGAAATTTCCATGTGTATATTCTTCTCGAGCAATTTAGGATGATCACGGACCTTAGATTTCATTTCTTTTCCTGCTAATTGCTCCATTCGAATTCGATTTCAGTATCTGAGAATGGAATTGTTTACGTTTACGCAGATTAGTCAGAGAAGCTCACGCTAAAGGAGCTAATATCGTTCTTATTCAGGTCACTCTTGCTCTTTGAAATTCTCTCTCAGATTATAAGTCTCACTTGATTAGTCTCTGAAGCTGCGTATACGATATAGTGTTTTTGATTTATCTAGTTTCGAATCGTCTTCGTTTGTCTTATAAAGTTTAGTTTCTTGATAACAGGAACTTTTTGAAGGATATTACTTTTGTCAAGCGCAAAGAGAGGATTTCTTTAAGCGAGCAAAGCCTTACAAGAACCATCCCACCATTGCAAGGTGACATTGCTTCTTCGGTTTCTATTGATGCCATTTTGATGTCTAATGCAGCGTATAGTGGAATCTTGATGTATCTAGTGTCTAGTGTTTTAATGGTTGGATAGTTTATTTAACACAGGATGCAGAAGCTGGCAAAGGAATTGGGTGTAGTGATACCTGTTAGCTTCTTTGAGGAGGCAAATGCTGCACATTACAATTCGATAGCGATAATTGATGCGGATGGAACTGACCTGGGAATTTATAGGAAGTCTCATATTCCTGATGGACCGGGTGAGTCAAGTTTGGAGTTGGAAACATAGCTTTAGTTCTTGTTACCTTTTTGCTAAGACCTCTACTTATCTTCAGGGTATCAAGAGAAGTTTTATTTTAATCCTGGAGACACTGGCTTTAAGGTAGTTTTGATAAGAAGAATCTCAAATTGAAACATATTTCTTATCTGTCATGTTATTTGGTTCGCATGATTGATCTCTTCGCCCTTTGGTGTCAATAGGTTTTCCAGACAAAGTTTGCAAAAATTGGAGTGGGTAAGATGCTCTATGCAGAACTCTGTTTCTTATGTCCTTTACTTTTGTTACTTCATCTTAATTGAAGTATTGGTGCAATGCCTTGTTTAGCTATATGTTGGGATCAGTGGTTTCCTGAGGCAGCTCGCGCTATGGTTCTACAGGGTGCTGAAATACTGTTTTATCCCACTGCTATTGGTTCTGAACCTCAAGACCAGGGATTGGATTCGCGTGATCATTGGAGGAGAGTTATGCAAGGGCATGCTGGGGCTAACGTGGTAAGCTATTGTAGGTCTTAAACATTTCAGTTTTCAAAGTCATCAGTGTCTTATCGGATCACTACGAGTATTACTTATAACTGAAAGCTATTTTACAGTAACATAAGCAATAAATTACATGTATCTAGTTTGTTCCGTTATTTCTTCTGATTCTAACTTGCCAAAATGTGATTCAGTCGTTAATTAATCGTTTTTTTTTTTGTAATGGTTTGCTAATGAGTGAGGCAATACTTTGGGTTTCAGGTGCCTCTAGTCGCTTCAAATCGCATAGGGAAGGAAATAATTGAAACTGAGCATGGACCCAGTCAGATCACTTTCTATGGAACTTCCTTCATTGCTGGTATCAATTTATAACTTATTCAGATTAGATCAGTAAATTTTGTAGCTTAGAAACAAATTTATTCATAATCATTTTACCAAAAATGTTGTTGTTATGATATGACAGGACCAACAGGTGAAATTGTGGCTGAGGCAGATGATAAATCAGAAGCCGTTCTCGTGGCACAATTTGATCTTGGGATGATCAAGTCGAAAAGGCAAAGCTGGGGAGTGTTCCGTGACCGTCGTCCAGATTTGTACAAGGTGCTTCTTACTATGGATGGTAATATCTGAATCTTTTGCTGTTGGAAGCTTTGATCTTTTGTTTAAGATCACACTGAGGAAGTCCATTAACAACAACTTTTACTGGCTTAATCTTAAAGGGTAAGCCCAAAAATAAAAGACCAGAAAATGGTTTAATACATCTCAAAATTTGCTGTGGCTCTTTCATTCTTCTAGGCTGTCATATGAAAAAATTGGATTATGTAAACACAAATGCATAAGTTGTATTTGGAACAATTAGCCTAAGTTACATGCACCTTAGATAACGAAGAAAATAAAAGCAAAAGAGAAATCAATCGAAACACACAATACTGCTAATGACGTTTCCAACTCCAACATCTGTCTTCATGCTTCCTGTTTCTTTTGATTATTAGCATTCACTGCGCTTGATGGTTTATGTTCATCAACATCTTCTTTTTCTTCTTCTTCTTCATCTTCTTCTTCAAGAACATACATTTCTTCTTCTTGACTATATTCTTCGACATCATCATCTTCAGCTTCACTTTTGTTATCACAAGGATCGACATGTGAAGACGCAATTTTCCTCTCTCTGAGCGTTTTGTCTGTGAGGTTCCTCAGCAAGTTCATCACTTGCACCGCATACATTAATGCTGTTAAAGGATCTGCCATCTGCAATAAAACCAAAACAGACCCAGTTTGCGGGTCAGAGGCTTGATAAGTAGCATTGATGCATACTGTTATTAGCACTAAGGTGAATGCCAGAATTCAAAAAGTAAAAATCTTGGAGGAATATGTTGCAAAAACTGACCTGAGACATGTTGGGTGCGAAGACTAAAGCAAGATTACGGGAGGTCATCTTGTTGACATCTTCAAACTCTACAAAGTCAGCCATTAGATTTATTGCCCAACTCAAAAGAGAAGCTTCCGTTTGCGGCAAGAGTCTCACAACCTTCACAAAATCCTCCTCTGACTCACACTGCATCACTTGTTGAGATGGCAGCGAATCGAGTACACCTCTCGGTAATTCTCTGAACCAAGCCTTTATAAGTCCGGCGAGACAGTGGATATCGATGCCTTCTGGTAGGACTCCTTTGTTTAATTCTTCTCTAATAAACTCTTCCTCACTGTTATCCCCTGTGATTCTGAAAATTCCTTCTACCTGCAAACCTCCTTGATCGTATAGTCGGCTTTGTAAGAGCGTGAGTATGGTCGGAACACAGTTCCCTCTCGAGTCGTATGATAACTGCATTGACTCTGTAGAAACCCCAAACACTGTTGCACTGCAAACCCGCAAATAGATCAACAAATCATGAAGCAAGCAAGAACATAATATTTCCATCACATTGTTCTCAAAGATTCATGGTCATGTCTCTTATATACTACATTAGATTACAATTTATATAATCAATGTGAAATGGATTTTTGACGCATCTTTCCAATAACATAGCGTGTTGAATCCCTTTTAAAATTATTGTGACATGATGTCGAATTGTTTTGAACGTCAAAACGAACATTGCATTTTCTTTTGCATTTTACAATGTTATAATATTTAATAATCTTAAATTTCAAATGCAAACACAAACGCAAAAACAATCATGGCATAGGTTTACATTAGAAAGAAGAAGTTAAACCTTGCACTAGGGGGTTTCTTGGGTACGTCAGGCTCAAATTCAGAAGGAAGACCAAGAAAACCAACGAAGCGATCATATGTTACATGAGCCACATGACAGATATTGGTTGGGCGACCAATGTCCATCGCTTGCCGTTCGTTTTCCTCCGCCATTATATCTCTCGAGAAGCAACGAGATAGCTCGAAGACGACTCGACCAACTGACGCGGAGCTGCCGAACCGCGAGAGTTCGGGCTTTCCGCGTCTTCTCACTCGCGCTATCTCTCCTTCAAAGCCACGTCACCCAAAAATCTTAACACACAGTTTCTTCTTCGTCTTCTCTTCTGATTGGGGTTTTTACTCGGCAATGTCAATGCGTGATAAGCAAGGGTGATATGGGAATGGGATTGTCATGGCCAGCGATGAAACGGTGAAGAAAAATGGTTAAGAGTAATGTAGGACGTGGGGATCACTACTTGAAACTTGAAAGACTTATTAAATGTGTATAGGTATTTCTTTTTTCTTATTATGCTACGATTCCAACCACGGTTCTAAAATTTTATTTATCTGACTCATAATTATATTTGTGGACTAGAATTAAAACTAAATGATATCGATAACAAATGTCGCTAACGGGTTTGATTAACATAAGTACATAGTTTATTTCTAAACAATTTTGGAAGACATTTTTAAATCGCATGAAATTTTTATATTAAAACTCTAATCGAAACATTAAATCGTATCACATTCCCTCCATATGGCTTAACCACTTAGCCATCCATGCTATTATGGCTAAGTTTCCCATTTTATTTCCGTGATCATAACTTGAATTCGGATAGTTTAATTGATCAGGACTCGTTCTCCGATGTTTTCACTTGATCTGAACCAAGTCATTCAATCATTATTTGGATTTCTTTAGAGTGGAGGTCCACATTAATATGACTCGATCCGATCATCCATATTTCCTAGGACATCTGACCATTCCACAATCCATCCGTGTTAAGTGGATAAACAATAATTTGTTTATCCATTCATGATCTAGTCCATAGTCGATTTAGATATCGATTAAACTCCCCATTTATAGTCCTAAACGAAATTGTACCACATTACATTAGGTATATTTAAACAGTTACAAAGATGTTCAGTCCAATCCAATTAAGTCCGTCCCTCGAGTAACTCAGTTCGTTGATATAGAATTCTAATTCTCGGGTCCCCTAGGATTAGTTTATATGGTCTACTCATTCATTGGTCATTCTTTGATCATGATCCAAATTTCTACGGAACAAACTGTCTAAGTGTTCATACTATAGAACACGAGCCTTACATGGATCTTTATGCCGAAAATTGTAGAACTTTATATCATCACTTTTAGACATCAAACTTTGTCATAAGAAGGATGTATCTAGGTCATTGACTTTGGCAATACGACCCAAGTTTACTTTTAACACCTCAGAAATACGAGTAAACATGTACACCTAGTTGCACTTATACAAAAGAAATGGCCAAACACTTTTAAATGGCTATATAAAGAAATATAATTAACAATATATTTTCATAAACCAAATTGCAACTAAAAAAAACACAGGAAATTAATCGTGGCCAAAACCATTTCAATGGTCATCTTTGGCAATTTCATAAACACTTTTAATTGGTGTAGTTTTCTAAACAAGAAGTGTGGCCATCTTTGGTCGTACCGAGGTTAAGTTGGAACTGACACACATGAACGTGTTAATTAATGAAACAAGAGAAATTAAAAAGAGAGTATTAGTTTTAGTGTTTCAATGATCTCTCTGCTGTAACCTTATGGTGAGATTTAGAAGCGACAAAACTGTTCTTGTGCATGTGCACTATCTTGCCTCCTAGCTTGTCCCCTTCTTCTCCTCCACATTATTCCTTCTTTACTTAACTTAATCCTAGTTAATGATAATTATTTTTAGATCAGAATTTTTTGTTACATCCATTTTATAAATATCTGGATCTAATCTCTGCTAGTTTCTTTTCAAATGACCACGAGGGCCAATGAAAGGTTGTTATTTTTATTCATTTTTTTGGAATCTTTTGTTGAAAACTAAAATTCTTAACAACATTTTCTAAGTGATCTAGATGTGTTAGTCAGAAGATAATCAAACGTCGTGCATCTATAACATGTATAGTCGACACATAATCGACTGTCAATAAATTGTCCATAGTCAAATAATATACATAATTACATGTCTATTCAATAAAATGAAAATGATATTCAGTTCATGAACAAATAAGATATGCCATTACATTCCTATTGGTTTTTTTGAGAAAAAAAAAAACCAATTGACATAAAAATATGCAAACCATTTCAGAACTTGGGATCATTTAATAGAATGCTACATCTTCTTTTTTTTTGTCATCCGAAATTAATTAGGGTTCAAAAGAGTTATTCCTGGGGAATGTCGTTTACATAAGTGATATGAAGCGGTTCGGTACTAACTTTTCTTGCCAGATTATTCGGTTTTACATTTGCACAACGAGAAATTAAAGATAAAGAGAAGTTTGAGAACTCTTCCTTGTATGTGTAAATAGGGGAATTATATTACCGATATACTTTCTGAAAAAAAGTCATTTGTTGGTGATTTCTCGACATCATATTTTTTTTTGAAAAAATTCTCGACATCATATTGATAGATAATATTCGTTAGTAATCTTTTGGATTGTATCCTTCTTACTTCCCAAACGGATCCTCCTACATCTATATATAAACGCTGGTTTATCAAAAATTCTCGACATCATATTGATAGATAATATTCGTTAGTAATCTTATGGATTGTATCCTTCTTACTTCCCAAACGGATCCTCCTATATCGATATCCAATTGTAGATGGTAAGAAACTGATGATATTTACTGACGAGTTTCCGATAGAACTAGGTTTAGGAAAACATATGGCATGGAACGACTATTGACGTTACATTTGATTTATGACATCTAATATGTTAGCAATAGTACATCCAAACATATTTTGACGTGTTACCAAGTACCAACACCTATTACCGACGAAGTGTCATCCGTACAATAGTTGAAAAATTATCGACTTTTTATCGATGGATAATAGTAACTGACGAAATTTAGGATGTTGGTCAACTGTTGATAAATTGAATTATCGACGGGATGGATCTAACCAAATGCTTTTTTTGTTTTTTTTGAGGTGATTAAAAAGATAAAGAAGCTTAGGCCTTGCCGGAGTTTTAGGACACATGAAGTATATAGTAAAACATTATTAATTATGCGTTACAAAACGTACAACACTTTTTTTTCTTTACAATAATACTTTTCAAAAAATCTTACCGGCATTAGGCATATACCCTCATTGGCCCCCATAAATACCTAAAGTTGGACAAATATCAATATGTAGATATATATATATATATATGACGAGCGAAGTCCACTAAAAGAAACAGAACATCACATCATCTATCCATTAATTATGTCTTCCTCTCGAACACAACCCTCTTCTTCTTCTTCAGTTTGGCAACTCCAATACATGAAGCTCCACTTCTTCACCAAGATTCGTTGTCTTTTGAAATCCAAAGCATCATCACGGAAACGTAATCTTCAAGCCTTACCAGAGAAATCAAGAACCTATCAAGATTCCGAGAAAGTGGCGGCGCTTCCGGAAGCAATAGTACTAAAACCACCAGAAGATGAGAATGACGAGGTTGTGTTGCAGAAAACTGTGAAGAAGCTTCACTTTGGAAGCTGGGAAGAGAAGGAGAAAGCTGCCATCGAGATCGAGAAACTTGCCCGAGAAGACAAGAAGACTCGGAAGCTCATGGCTGAACTCGGTGTTCTTCAAGTTCTTGTTTCTATGGTCGCTTCCGATGTTTCCGGTCATCAGAAAGCTGCCGTCAATGCTCTTATTCAGCTTTCTCATGGAACCTACACGTAAGTTGTTTTAGTTTTCCAGTTAGAAATTATACTAATTTTACCAAATTATTTCACTGATAAATCAAAATTCATAAAATATCGATGCATGTGTATATATTATTAATATTTGTCTAATTTAGGAGAAAACAATGAAGGAAATGTGAAATATTTGTTATGTTATTGTTTAGTCTTGGTTTTTGTTTTTGGTGTACGGTAAATGGTATTTGTCAAATTACACTCTTGTCTCTTGCTTTACAATCATTTAGAATAGACTTGCATTTGATTTTAAATCAACTTGCATTTGATTTTAAATCAACTTGCATTTTTAGCTTTATCCAAAGGTGATTGAATTATTGGATTTACGTTTATACCGAAAATATATATTGGATTTATGTCTTTGGCTAGATTTGATTTTCCAAGATGTTCAGAAATAGTGTTTACAACTTACAACTTTGGTGTATCATCTGTCTTTTTGTTTTGTTTATCTTTGACTTAGAATATTTAAATTAGGGAAAATAAATAGTCTAAAATTATATATTGAAGTTTTCGAATATATAACATAAGATCATAAGTCATCGGTTGACAAAATTATCCACTAGAGTGATTTCTTACCGAAATTAAATCTTTTGACTAAAGGTGATGTTATGCCTAATTTTCTTCATTCACTATAATCGTCAATTTCCTTTTAACCAATATTTCATTTTTTTTCTCTTTCTTTTAGACAAGAGTTTTGATTGAAACTAATGCGATAAATAAAATAAAGCCTTTTCAAAAAAAAAAAAATCTAATGCGATAAATAATTATAACCAAAATAGTGGATCCTGCCGTAGCATCTAATTTGCCTTTATGAAGTACACTTGAAGTTTCTCTCACGTGCCTTTCTTTCTCTCACTGATTTAAATTTGGTCAATATTGATTGTTACATAAAGGCAACATTATCACCTTATTTTCTTTCAAAAAAAAAAAAATTATCACCTTATACACCAATAGTTATAAACTTATAATAATTAATTACATAGGTACAATATGACTACAAATCATGCATAACTATAAAAATGATTTTATGTTATAATTTATTTGTAAATGATTTTCGTGTCTATATAGTATATAATATAGATGGACCTATAAGGCTATAACTTACGGAAAATACAAAGAACATAGACATAGAGGAGTTTGGAAAGCTTCGGTGGCATTCCACTAAGAAATGGATGAATATCTATTTGTCAGTATTGTGATATATCATCCATTTCTTAATAATAAACAAACAAATAATAGTCTAATAATGAATGTTAATTTACTATTAAAATAAAAATTAAGAATATTGATTCCGAGTGCGTCGGAACTTAGAAGAGTCGAGAGATCAAATCACGTTAGTTGACAGCCCATTAGTATATCTCTAATTGGCCTTTAATATTTTCTGACCATACATCTATTAGAAAAGTTGAAGATCATATTCCACTGACCTCTGCCTAATCTATACGTGTCTAATTTAGTACATAATAACATACATATTCTTATTTATATATAATTATTGTGACTCTTTCTAATACAAGATCTATATTAAATACTACAAAAGTTAGCAAAAAGTTGACACATATCGTAAGTTGAATTTGAAATTGATTAAAACGTGGTTGTGAAGAAAAACTTTTATGACTTAATCAATGTTTACTTGAGTGTTTTTCAAAACTTTATCTCTTCTTGCTTCACAAATGATTTTCACACTTCTTTTTACAGAGATACATTTTAGTTTTGCATCAGCGAATATTGATAAAAAAAAGTTCGGAATTCTCATAAAAATTATTGGAAAATTAATTCGCGTCATTTATCATAACTTTTTTTGTTTTATATTTTTAAGAGAAATATTTCAATGTTTATTTGGTAATAAATAGTTGACATCAAATATAAATACTACTAACATATGATATAAGGTTACTATTTCATTCAAAAAAATATAAAGTTACTCAAGATATGAAATATATTTTGGGGTTTTGAGTCCTAGTATTGATAATCTCAATAGTATAAATCAATTCTAAAGTTTGATTCTTATTTTTGTTTTACTTCAGGAACAAGGCGCTGATGGTGAACGCCGATATATGCTCAAAGCTACCCAAAAATGTCGAAGTTCTCGACCAATCAACAAGACATGGCTTTGCGGAGCTTCTGCTTTCACTGTCTTCTCTAACAAACACACAATTACCAGTAGCTTCATCACATATTCTACCATTCTTAATGGACACAATGAACTCAGATTCAACAGACATGAAAACAAAAGAGATATGTCTAGCCACCATAAGCAATCTCTGCCTTGTGTTGGAAAACGCAGGACCATTGGTCTTAAACGGGGCAGTGCAAACACTCCTAAGGCTAATGTCAACTAAAGACTTATCGGAGAAGGCGCTAGCGAGTCTAGGGCAATTGGTGGTAACTCAAATGGGTAAAAAAGCAATGGAGGATTGTTTGATTGTTCCCAAAGGTTTGATAGAGATTCTAACATGGGAAGATAAACCGAAATGCCAAGAATACTCGGCGTATATCTTGATGGTATTAGCTCATCAGAGTTGGAGCCAGCGCGAGAAAATGGCCAAGGCAGGGATTGTGCCGGTACTTCTTGAAGTGAGCTTACTTGGGAGCCCTCTAGTTCAAAAGAGGGCAATGAAACTATTGCAGTGGTTCAAGGATGAGAGAAATGTACGGATGGGTCCTCATTCGGGTCCACAAACGGGTTGGATGAGTCCTGGGATGGGATCTCCAATGAGCCCAAGGTCAGGGGAAGAAGGTAGGAAGATGATGAAGAATCTGGTGAAACAGAGTTTGTACAAGAACATGGAGATGATAACTCGACGAGGGAATGTGGATATGGAGAGTGAAAGTTGTAGGCTTAAGTCTTTGATCATCAGCACAAGCTCTAAAAGCTTGACTTATTGATCTTTATTTTGTGTTCTGAGATTGCCATATAAAGTGATTAGTGAGTGCCTTGCTCTGAAAAGAGAAATATTTATTTATATAAGGGAATTAAAAAAAAGTGAGAAGAGAGAAGTGCAATTACCAATATATGAAATTGAGAAGTGCAATTACGAAAATATGATACTTTTAGAGTTTGCTACTTTAATATGGATTTACTCGAATTAAACTTGAATTTGGATTAATCTTATTTGTAGATCCATGATCCAATTTCGGTATTCTTTTGCTATCGGTACGAGAAATAGTGGAAAGGGTTGAGAACGGATAATTTGGGTATTTAAAAGTAATGTTCAAAATGTTTACAATAAAAAAGATAGGAAATTTGGATAACGGAATGGGTTTGAGAAATTTAGATAGAAAAAAATCACTATTCAAATTCTCTCATCAATTTGGATAAGAGTCATCGAGGGTTAGTCCTACTTATGGGACATCGTTAGCCATAGTAGGACTGTACAACAACTGAAAATGCATCAATTGTGGAAGTGGCGAAATAGCGGTCACTTTGAAGAAATCAGCATTTTCACTTATAATTTAGAGAACGAGTTAGAGAATGTGAAGCACAAAGAGTATTACAAGTAAAAGTTTTTATCTAAGAACATAATCGTTTTTCTGAGGTTAATAATCATATTTATAGAACAGTCAAATTCGGAAGCTAAGTTGAAACGATCTATTATACGACTACAATTTGATTATACACTGTTTAAGACTATGTTCATGATAGACTACACAACTTTTCTTGGAGAAATTTGACAACATGCTAGCTTTATAAGAATCATTAGCCATGTAAATGGCAACATTTAAATATAACGTCCATGATGAATCAGAAAGCGCTTTGGTTACTTGTAAGCAACATTTTTTTTGAAAGGCAAACCCAAGAATAGTGGAGTAAAGATTAATGGTTGACGTGAAGAATTTTCAACATACAAGGTCAAGAAACGGATCAAGTGCCACTAGGAGGGACTTGGGCCTTTCAATAGGGATTGTCAAGTCAAGCTAAATTAATATATTAGATTAAAAACCATGAATGGGGAATATGTATCACAGTGGAAGCTTTATCTTTAGACTTGAGGTACATCTAAACCTTGAAAACTAGAAAAATGATTTTAATCATGTACATTTTGGTTTCAGACATGACGAGAAAAGAGTTATTATAATTGCACATGAGTCAATTCATCGCATTGAGAAGAAAGGAACAAAAATCATCAAAGGATACGACGTAAGCCCGATTTCTTTCAAGAAATATATTATGTTCCTTAAGTAAATAATTTTTTTAATGGTGAATGTAGTTAACTATGTTTTATTTCGCCCAATAGACGTTAAATTCGCAATAAGCATGAAAGAGTTAAAGGCATATGTAGTTTACTAGAGCCAAGTTTAAAATTTGTAAGACTATGTGTTACGTAAGTGTATCATAGTTCCTTTGTAGTAAAATTTGCAATGAATTTTAATGCAAATAAGATAAAGAAATTTTTAAATATAAGAACATATATACAAACTATTTGGATTTGGAGCTTGAACTATTTGTTGCAATTCTACGAGAGTTCTGTATTCACTTGACAATCGTCAAAAGCTTAATTAAATCTTTTTAATTTTAAATGTTTTGCTTATGAGGTTGAAGAGCCAGAATCTCGCTTTAGAACATTGAACAAATATGTTGTTATATTTCAGATACGAAGGATATTGTAGACGTAATTTTAAATGCTCGTTGAAAATATTAGAAAGTTAGAACATTTAATCTTTGTTATTTGTTGAGTTCAAGAAGAAAAACCAAAACATAATTTCTTTATGACAAAACCTTAAGTTTTTGTAGTTTCTGCTTATACCAACAAAAACACATGAAATGATATATGCCACCATTCCGCATGAAATGTCTTCGGTGTCGCGGATATCACTCCTCTGTCTGCCCACATCACCTCCTCATCCACTTTCACGGCGCATCCAGCCGCAGATCGCTTACAATTCTGGTTGAGTTAGGCCGGACTCTTGTCTTATGTTTAATGGGTTTGGAGAGCCCATCAGAAAAAATTTGCCCTAGAAGCAGCCCATTTATTTTCAAGCCTGACTCATTAAGATGCATCGCCTTGGTTTCGATTGATGAAGAGGTTTTGGCATTCTCCAACTTGGTATACAACAAGCCAATTGTTTCCTACCATGTAAAGAGATCCTTGCACTGTTCCTCTTTTTTGGAAGAGAGATTGATCCCATCAATTTCCCTCTTCATGAGAGGTGATCTTATTCCAAATCTAAATGCGAAGATATTTTCTGATATCTTAACTATTTCACATTTTTGTGTCAAGGTCTATACAAGACCAAAAGATGCAACACGTCTCATTTTGGTGAGTCTCGAAGTTTAAGACTGTGAATCAAAGTTACATTGTAAAGTGACTAGCTATTCCAAAGTTAGTTGAAAGATTTGTAGTGAAGTTCGTTTCTCTCATGGGTGTGCTAATATGTGGTCTCTTCGATAATTCTTCTAATGATCTTTCAAACTCCGCTGAGTTTGCGTATTTATCTTTATTTTGCTTTGTTGCGATAGGAGATAGGCTTGCACATTAGGTATGTCTGATGATGCCTTCAACATTTGTAATCGCTTAAATTTGAATGAAGTTTCGATTTGACCTAAAACAAAAAAGACAACAACAAAAACATAAAACATATGTTTGACAAAGAAAAAAAAACACAAATCATAATTCCTAATTAGGGTTGGGCATTCGGGTATGCGGATCGGGTTCGGGTAAAACCCGATCGGGTACGGGTTTTCCGGGTAGAGGAGTTTAGGATCCAATAGGATAAATAAAAAAAAATCAGTTCCGTTTTGGTTCGGGTCTTTTCGGGTACGGATCGGTTTGGATATAAATATTCAAAACCGCTAAGTACCCGCTATATAATTGTTCGGGTAAATTCTCGGGTTTTCGGGTAAATACTCGGAATTTTCAAGTAAATACCCAGGTTTTTGGGTAAAAGTTCAAGTTTCGGGTAAAACTTCGGGTTTTCGAATAAAACATTAGAGTATTTTCGGGTTCGGATTCGGATTTTCGGGTATATGAGTTTAGGACCAAATAGGATAAATCTAAATTTTTGGGTTCGGGTCAAAATTTTCGGGTCGGTTCTGTTTTAGATACTCAGTTCCGGTTTTTTTTCTCCAGCCCTATCCTTAATGATAAGTGAAATAGTAGAATTTCTATGAAGGATTGAAGGCTGTGACTGGTATGTAGATAGAGTAATAAGAAGAAAAGTAAAAAGTTGAAGAAAGTGAACGAGTGAAAATAAGACACTACAAGAAAACAGTCGCTTTGCGACGGAAAGTTGCGAGGGAAGCCATCCCTCTCAAATTTGCGAGGGCATTGCAAGTAATTTTCTACGAAAAGGATGCGGGTCGCAAATCCGTCGCAAATTTTGCGAGGGAAAGCTTCCTCGCAAATTTGCGAGGCACTTACGAGTAATTTGCGGGCAATATTTACTCCGTCGCAAATAACCCGCACATACCTCGCAAATCTTTACCCTAAACCCTAAAATACGTAAAACTGTTTTGCGATCTTTGATTTTCATTTATAAATGTGAATCTAAGAGGCCATATAATCAGACAAGTTGAATATATGGTGATGCATAAAAAAATGTTGGATATGTTTAAATATTAACATTTTCTTTTAAAAATGTTATAAACATTGGATTCATATTATAGAAAAACATAAGATAATCATTTAGAAAATGCACATTCGGAGGAATTCGAAGTATATGATGAGAAAGTAGATTCTAATGTAGATAATTAACTTCCTAGTGATTCAAAAAAATGAATCTTAATGATTTTAAGTAGTGTTTTGTTGGTTTTTTCAAATTTATCTCTATTTTGCGAGGGTTTTGCGAGAGTTTTGCCAGGGATACTAGTAATTCCCTCGCAAAACTAAAACCCTAAATAAAGAATTTGCGAGGGATTTGCAAGGCGTTCGTAGCACTTCCCTCGCAAATCTTTACCCTTAACCCTAAATTATTTAAAATATTTAGTTATGTTTTTTTTTTCTGAGGGACTTTCTAGAAATAGGAAAATGAATCAGAAAATGAATAAGATATGATTAGTAATATTTAAGCATGTCTTTGTATTTTTTAAAAACCCTAAACCCAAAATTATTTAAAATATTTAGTCATGTTTTTTTTTTCTGAGAGACTTTCTAGAAATAGGAAAATGAATCAGAAAATGAATAAGACATGATTAATAATATTTAAGCATGTCTTTGTGTTTTTTAAAAACCCTAATGAAGAATTTACGAGGGATTTACTAGGTAATCTCCCAATTCCCTCGCAATATATGCCTCGTTTTGATTGGTTGTTTTGGCGGTTCCTCGCAAAATCCTAGCAAATGTTGTGAGGGATTTGCGACGTGTCAAATATCTATATATACTAATGACCTAGTTTGAGCGAAGCTCAAACCAGCCGCATATCGCGAAAACCCTAATTCACCGATTCTCTCTTCCTTCGCCGATTCTCTCTTTTCCGATCTCTTCTTTCGCTGATTCTCTTCCATTCTCCGATTCTCTCCTCTCTGGTTCACTTCATACTCCGATTCTCTCTTCTCCGGTCTCCGATTCTCAGATCTGAAAATTTTGCGAAAGGTTTAAGTGTTTGCTCTCTTTATTCTTTGTATTTTCTTTGTCGATTTGAATTGTTTTTGGTTTGATTTCGTGTTAATTCGTTTTAGGGTTTCTTTAGGGTTTGATTTGTGGTTTTAAATCGTTTTAGGGTTTGGATTAGGGTTTGAATTTGGGGTTTTAATTAGGGTTTCAATTAGGGGTTTAAATCGGGTTTCAATTAGGGTTTTAAATCGATTTAGGGTTTGGATTAGGGTTTGAATTTGGGGTTTTAATTAGGGTTTCAATTAGGGGTTTAAATCGGGATTCAATTAGGGTTTTAAATTTTCTTGTAAGGTTTGATTTGGGGATTTAATTGGGGGTTTTAATTAGGGTTTAGATTAGGGTTTGATTTAGGGTTTGATTTCGTGCATCTTTCTCTGTTTTCTTTCTCTTTTTTGGTTACTAATAATTTCTTTCTTTTCTCGTAGATGTCTTTCTCTGGAAACGACTACAGTAGGTTTCTATCTCAAGGGAATGCACTTGTTCCTCGTGCTTCCAGATCTCAATGGACTGTTCCTCGATCTCAAGGGAATGCATCTAGAAACTGTAATCCACCCTCACCAGCCAGTCAAAACCAACAAGCCGGTCTGTCTCCTCCACCATCCAATCCAAACTCGCCTAATCCATCTCATTCAGCTACTCAACCACCAACTGGGCGTCTCAACGATCTGACATTGGAGGAGCTCCTTGACAGTCCGGGGCGTCAGTCTCTTCAGAGACTAGATCCAAATCGTCCTCCGGGAACTCTTTGGTAAGGAATATTTTGGTTTGACATTGATGGTTCTCATTGTATTTTAATAATGTAGATTCGCATTGTAATTGATTTTTTTGTTGTAGGTTTGACATTGATGGTTCAGTTGCAGCTTCTGTCCGCAAGATTTTTGAAAGAGATTTCAAGGAACCTCATGCCAATTGGACACAGACTCCTGATGCAGTGGTCAATCGTTGGTATGAGACTTTTGCGGTAAGTGAAATTGTTTAGTTTAGCTTTGTTTTACTCTACAAATGTATGTGATGCTATTTCTGACTCTGTTTTTTATTTTGAAGCAAATGTACAACTGGGACAAGTCCATAAATGAGAGAGTTAGAGAAGAGTTTGAGGAAAGTTGAAGGATAGGATGTCTGATCAAGTTTCTCGGTGGAAGGGAAAGTGGAAGAATAAAGGTGATGAGGCAAAGCCTAAATGGATTGATCCTGAAGTGTGGACTGGACTTGTTCGTTTTTGGCGTGATCCTAAATCAGAAATTAGGATCGGAGTATCAACAGTAGAAATGCTCGATATCATGATCCCGATGGCCTTGGTATATCTAAACACCGTTCTGGCCAGACTTCTTTCAAATCCCGTGCCAGAAAGCATGTAAGTTAACTCTGTTTTCTTTCTCATACATATACTTATGCATATTGAACTGACACTTAAATCTTTTACTTTTGTTTTAGTGTGAGGAGACTGGTGATTCAACACCAGATTTTCTGGTGGTTCTTGAGCAAACTCATCGCAAACCTGATGGGACTTTCATTGATAGAAAGTCAGAGGAGATCTACAAGGAAGTGTCATCAAGGATTGAAGAGGAGGAGTCTCACCTGTTTACAGGGGATAATACAGAGAGCTCTGCTTCAGGTGGATTATCAGTGGCTGCCAAGAACAAGATTTATGCTCAGGTAATTCTGTATATTTCAATTCAGAGTGTCTTTAATTAGTACTTAGTCTTTGTGTGTTGTGTGATTATGTGATTATATGATGATGTTGGCAGCATACTTGTGTGATGATGTTAGCAGCATACTTGTTAGCATTATACTTGTGTGATTATTTCATTAGTACTTAGTCTCTTGGCAGTCCACTCATTATACTTGTGTGGTTTGTATCAGGTTGCTCCAAGGAAGAAAGGAAGGTTGTATGGGGTTGGTTCTCTGCAGAATGAAGCATCCTCAGTCCATGTTGGTCCACTGCCTACTCATAATGATCGAGAGGTTCTATTGGAGAAGCTTGCTGCTGCTGAAGCTCGTCTTCAACTTCAGGCTGAGAAGATCAATAGCTTCGATGCCTATTGGCAATACCTCGCATAGAAGGATCCAGTGTTTGCAGGCATGTATCGAGGACCATCTGAACCGGCAAATGCAGAAGCCACAAGAACTGCGGAGGGCAACGAGACCGGAGGCGATCAGACCGGAACCGATCAGACCGGAACCGATCAGACCGGCGGAACTGAGACAGGAACTGGTACCAGACCAGCCTCCTCTACTTCACAAGCTTTTTAATTTCTCTATGTGTTAAGACTTGGTTTAAGACTTGGTTTTGAATTGGTTTAAGACTTATGTTTTATGATTTGGTTTAAGACATGTTTTGAATGTACACTTATGTTTTTGAATCATTTAGGAGTTAATTGAATGTTTTACTGATTTCATTTATGTTTTTGAATGTTTTTGAAAATCAAATTAAAATCACCAAAAAAATAAATCAGGATAAAATTCGTAAATGAAAAAACAAAAAGAGACTCGCAACAGACTTGCAAATCCCTAGCAAAATTTGCGAGGGAAGTGCTACTCGTAATTTTTGCGAGGAATTGTGGTCCTCGCAAAATATGCGAGGGAATAAGTTCCTCGCAAAATTTGCGAGGAAATTGCAAGATATTACATTTGCGAGCCGCGTTTTGCGAGGAATGACGTGGCGTAGCAAATCCCTTGCTACAAGCGTTTTGCGAGGGATTTACGAGGAATCCTTCCCTCGCAAAACACATGTTTTCTTGTAGTGAAGCTAGTGCAAAAAGTTTCTCATGTTTTAAGTAGATGAAAAAGTTACGTTGGTTTTATTGTTTTTTCGCTATTTTGAGAATAAATGAGCTGAAATATTTTTCAGCTATTATTATTCTGATTGGTGGGAATGGGTAGAAATATCTCTTTTGCTTTTTTCTTTTGCACTATTTATGATAACCAGTAACAAAATTAACAAAGCAAAAACTTAAAAATCAATCAAAAGAAAGCCTTTATATCGAGATTCGAGAGAAGAGCCACTTGCCATAGGGAGTTACTTCAACCATTTACACCAATAACATTATCTACATAACAATAACATTGCAACTTGTAATTGTAAGACAGTAGAGCCACTTGACAAATCAGTTATTGCATTATGGAGTTACATGATAGGATTTGAACAGACACAATAGCAAAAGAGAAAAGGGATTTTTAAATTATTTTCTATGAAAATTTGGTTATGAAATCACTCAATTTTACATTTTATATTGACCCGATTACGAAATGTTTTTGTTTGCTTCTTGACGTTGTCGAACGCATGGTAGAAGAGAATAATAATAATAAAAAGATTAGACCAACTTGGCCAAATACCAAAAGAAAGCCTTGTTGACAAAAAAACGAAAAGAAAGAAAAGAAAAGAAAAGAAAAGAAAAAAAAAAGAACACAAAGAGTAAACAAAATATACTCTTTCATTGATTGCCTAAATTTGTGTCATTCTATGGAACAATTCTTGGGTTCAGAACCTAATTCATTCACCTCCTCTTTAAAAACCAATCAAAATTTGCCATGTTATCTAATTAAAAAAATAAAATAACTAATATTATCTAAATAGGAAAATAATTAATCTAAATCATTAAAAACCCAAAACTAAATTAATCAATTTAAACTAAATCACTAAATCAATAAAATAATATTATTTCCTTCACGTCTCTTTCTCTCTAAATTCAAAAAAGAAAAATAATACTTAATCCTAAATCTGAATTTTTAAGTCATTAACCCTAACTATATTCATAGTTATTCTCTTTTTTTCTTCTCACATATAATCAAAAAGTGATTAGTTTTATCAGAGGAAGGAGATTATTGTTCTCACACAATTTGAACGTAAGTCCAAATACTTATTTCTATGTACATCAAAATTTCTTAGTTTGAAAATTAGTCAATTAAAGATTTTTTTTGTTTACTAAATTCACGTAATTCTATTGAATATCATAGAAGCGAGAAATTGTTTGCCTTTTCTAAACATGTTAGTACGTGACCTTTTATGCTTTTCGTTTGATATGGGTTTATTTGTATTCTATTTTTTGTTAACTTAATTATTAAGTGTCGGTTTGAAGGGGAGGATTCCCCTAGGGGTGAACCCAAGAATTATTCCATTCTATGTTGGAAGGGGAGTGAACTTTCTTTCCAACAATTGGCTAAAAGTTTTGGTTAAAAACATATAATCCCAATCTCTGTATTATTTCCGATTGTTTTGGTTCTATTCGAAGACCCAATATTATGAATTATTCGTGGACACTCATTCATCTAGACTATTTAAGGAGATAAGATTTGTGAGAGCAGCGTATTTCGATAATGTTTTAAGAAATATAATAGATAAAATTATGAAAATTATGGAAAATTGAAACATTGATCGATGATATGACTTCTTTCCTTCATCTGTTCCTTTACCGCAATAAGGAATGGGTACGAACTGATATCTTATTGAATCTTTAATTTTCCAATATATATTTGTTCCAGAACTATTTCGATATTTATTGTTTAAAATTTCGCAAAAATTAGGTACGTACTTGGACCAAATTTCTTTTTCGCTCCATAAGTATTAAGATTAAAAAAAAAAAATTTGTAATAATTCTTAATTTTTTACTGTTAAATAGTCCTACATTTAATTTATAATTATACATATTTAAAATCTGTATGAAGAAAATAAATATATGGTTTATATATGCCTATTTATCTTTTTACGTTAACATTACACAAACATTTATATCTTTAGAACCAAATGAATATTCGATTTTTTAATATTTGTGATTACCATTGTTTCTATCGGATTAAATTTTTTAGCAATTGCTGCCTGGCTCTTGTAGCTCGTGTGGTCTGCGAAGGCACTAAGAGTGCAACGTCTACGATGTTCAAGCAAGGCACATAGAGAGAGCTTAATATAGACCACAAACCAAAAAAAAAAAAATCAACAATGGCTTTGTACCATAAGCTTATTGTTATATTCAGATTTTCCAAAACGGAATATCATGCGAACCTTCCAAAATTTAACCGGCCAAAAATATTTTTTACTTAGTTAACGTTGACCATTTTCTTTGAGTGAGGCATATAAAAACTAGCAAATAGAATCTAACATCAATAATGTTGCAATTTGTTTTCCCATGTCATTTGGTCCCACTTCCTTAGTATATTTAAATCCAACCACACACTTCACTCACAATTTCTTATATAAGACCATTTTGGCATACACACTTCTTGGCAATTCCAAGTAACAATAACCAAAACATTTGTATTAAAAGAGTATTTATTTTGATACTGGCCCTGTTCGTTACGTGGTCGCAGCGACCACTTTCTGCGATTACAAATTAGTCGTTGCCGGAGTTCAAATCAATAAAAGGAGTCGCCGCTTTTGTGAAAAGGAGTCGCCGCTTTTGTTGAAAGAGTCTTCGCAACAGTCGCTCAAAATTCCGGCGATCCTTTTTGTGTTAACGCGACAACTCCGTCTCTCTCCTGCGACACCTCCGTAAGATCATCACCGTCGTTTTGTTTTTTGTTTGGCTGCCGTCATCGTCGTTTTGGGCTGTCGCAGACACAGTCGCGGCGACTGTAAAAAGAACAAGCCCACTATATTTAAATTGTGCCCATACATTTCCATACATATTACCTCTAGGAATGGCGTCAACTATCATCTTCATTCTAACTATTTTTTTGAGTTACAGAACTTCGCTAGCTACATCTCGTGGTGGCCTTTTTGAAGCTTCTGCCATTGAGAAACATGAGCAATGGATGGCTCGATTCAATCGCGTTTACTCTGACGAATCTGAGAAAAGAAATCGGTTCGAAATCTTCAAGAAGAATTTGGAGTTCGTCCAGAGCTTCAACATGAATAAGAACACCACGTACAAGTTGGATGTCAACGAGTTCTCTGATCTCACTGACGAAGAATTTCGGGCCACACACACTGGCCTAGTTGTGCCCGAGGATATAACAGGAATTTCAACTCTGTCTTCGGATAAAACGGTGCCGTTTAGATATGGTAATGTTAGTGATACTGGCGAGAGCATGGATTGGAGACAAGAGGGGGCTGTTACACCCGTTAAGTATCAAGGCCGATGTGGTAATAAGATAACTTTTGTCTTTTTATAACAACCTGCATCATTTGTGTTTGACGTCATTACAGTATTTTGTAAAATTTTTAAAAATTTATTGCATAACGAGAAAAGAATAGGATTATTTACATGAACGTGTAAATACATATATTGTTTTAAAACATGAATTTTTTTTTTTGTTGATTAAAAACATAAAACATGAAATTTTTGAAAATGGAACAGGAGGATGCTGGGCGTTTTCCGCGGTGGCGGCAGTGGAAGGCATTACAAAGATTACTAAAGGCGAGCTCGTATCGCTATCGGAGCAACAACTCTTAGACTGTGACAGAGACTACAATCAAGGATGTCATGGAGGGATAATGTCTAAAGCTTTTGAGTACATAATCAAAAACCAAGGCATCACTACAGAGGATAACTATCCATATCAAGAATCACAACAAACTTGTAGTTCATCAACTACCCTATCATCGTCTTTCCGTGCTGCTACAATCAGCGGATATGAGACAGTTCCAATGAATAATGAGGAAGCATTGCTACAAGCGGTGTCTCAACAGCCTGTTTCCGTGGGGATAGAAGGGACAGGAGCCGCGTTTAGGCACTACTCGGGCGGGATATTCAATGGAGAATGTGGGACGGATTTGCATCATGCGGTCACGATTGTTGGTTATGGAATGAGTGAAGATGGGACTAAGTATTGGGTGGTGAAGAATTCTTGGGGGGAAACTTGGGGAGAAGATGGTTTCATGAGGGTCAAGAGAGACGTGGATGCACCCCAAGGAATGTGTGGTTTGGCCATGCTTGCTTTCTATCCACTTGCTTAAATACATGAAGATTGATTGGGTGTGCTTGAAGTAATTGAAAATACTCTGATCAATATGTTATTTTAAGAAACATTATGGTCCCCATGTTTTTGTGGAAATGGACTGATATTTTTGATCTGATGTGGTGGAAGAATAAAAGCACTAGTAAGAATTAAATTGCTTGAAACCAGAACCAAAAAAAAACAAAAAAAAAACAGAGGACTTTAGTCAATTTACATTTTCCCAAATAAAAGCATATATTAAGTTGGTGTAGCGTTAAATTTCTTCAGGTAATTAGATTAATCTTAACAAAGCCATTTGTTCCGGTGGTGTTGTGTGATGCACAATGGGCTGGTTTGACCTGGCCTTTCTTTGGAATTCTTGTACAATAAAAGAGATTTTTAACTGTTTTTTTTTGTTTTTTTATGTTGTTGACAAATTAATTGATAGTTAGCCAAAATGAAAAAAAATCTTCTCGCAGCCACCAAAGTTACAGGCCGACTCTGCTTCCGGTTCATGCAGCTGTGATGGACTAAAAGAGGGTTATACATCTTACATTTAAAAATCACCTTTTTGCATTAGAATTTTTTTTAAAATTGGTTTTCAACACCAAATATATAACTGCGGTCCGGAACATCGCACCAACCAGCTCCCGGCTCCTTGTATGGGCTCGACCATGATTTTGTCAAAGTGTATTGTTCTGTTATATAATGATATTATTATGTCTGATGATATTATTCCGCTCTAATGATTTGATAATTTTTTTAATTATTTTTTTGGTAAATTTTTGTCCATGAAAACATTAGGTTATTAATATGTTTGTGTAAGATGTAACGAGCAAGTTTGTTGGCGGACCTACGTGCAAGAAAGGAGGGTCATGTGACCTCCCTAAATTTCAATATCTTTTTTTATTGTTATGAGAAAAAATACATTTGGTTTGACAAATTTTTTTTTTAGCTATGTTTGACCTGGGCAAAAAATAGTCAAGTTTGTACATAAGGTTAGACACGTTTTGGGAACGATCAAAACCAAACCACGTACTACTACAACTAGTTTTCTAATCTTTAAGCTACGTTCGTGTCATTATTAACCAAACGATCATCAGCACATGGACGTAACCAAAAAATAATTATATTAAACAAAATAATTCAACTAATTAAAAAGAGCTTTGTCAAACCAAAAATAAAAAAGACTAAGAAGAGAGAGAGAGAAAAAAAAATCTTAGAAAACTAAAATTTGGAGTCTAATAAAACATGAGAATGAAGCATGTCGTGAAGATGAACAACACTAAAGAATATTGAATTCGGACACCATCGCTTGGAAATCGGCCGCCGGGAACTACGGGAACTGGTCGTCCTCCACCCTGAGTGTTTCCACTACTTCCGCTACCACCTCCGCTATCACCACCGTCATCACCACCGTCATCACCACCACCACCACGACTGCCACCACCTTTTCCACCCTTATTTCCTCCAGAGCCACCACTGCCACCACGGTTTGAGCTTCCTCCTCCACTTGATCCACCACCTCCACCTCCACGACTTCCCCCACCACTACTGCCTCCACCTGAAGAACCACCTCGAGAGCCGCCGCCTCCCCCTCCACCACCACCACCACCACCACCACCGGCAAGCTGTCTCCGCACAAAATCACCCGGAAACGACATCGTTTCCACGGTTAAGTGATGACGTTTTACATCAATAGATGACACAGAGGCTTGATCAAGTGAACCAACGACTTTGAATTGTGTATGAATCAGAAGAGATAGAACTAGAAGAAACAGTACGCTACGCCTTTGGAGTTCCATTTTGTATATACAAATCTTACACCTTCAATATTGTATATTTATACGGTTTTAAGTAACCGCCTGTGATTAATCAAATCGTTTTATAACTTTACTCTTTCGTTGAATATGTCTAATGCGACTTTCAAATTTTGAAGCTTCCTTGCTTTGATTGAATTTTACTAAATAGGATAAAACTTGACTTTTTTCTCTTGCGTGTGTAATTTGATTTGTTATATTTTTTTACACAAGATATATTCCATTTATGTTTTGTCGTTTTATATTTAAATTGTTGCTTAGAACAGAACAGTATTATAGAGCTTAAGGTGAGAATAAACCTATTCCTATTTTATCCTTCACCCAAAACTGTAATAGTAATTTTTTCTTGTGGGTCAAATTAAGTTAACCTGTAAAAATTAAGTTTTAGTTACACAATATCATATTAAACAGGGACATATACATATACTTTAATAATGGAGTAATTTGTCAACAATAGGATGATTATTAAGAACATGACGATCAAGTTTCTTTTATTAAAAAATATACATTCAATTTTTTATTGCAAAACCACTATTGATTTACGTGTGGAATTCTATTAGTCTACTACGTCGTCAAACGGAATTTTAAACCAATAAAACTAATAATTTGATTTGAACAGTTTGATTAATCAAAATATTCGATGATATAAGTATAACCCTTCTGTTTTTCACGTACGCCATGCATTTCCTTCATCATTGCTATTTCATTTTTTAATCAGAAAATTGTCTCTAAATAACATAAATAAAATAGACAATTTGGATTTATTATATTTATTATATGAAAATTGTCCATCTAGATTTTTTTGGGGGTAAATCTTGGAGCCACATACAATTTATGGGGCAGAAATGGAGAGTTTAATCAAAACCAAACATGATTAGTCATACAAGACCTAGTGATCATTAGATAGCATTTCAAGATTGAACATAGTATAAAACAAATAATCAGCTAAGAAAAGCTAGTGATTGTCTGATCCAGAACTTCCTAAGCATCCAACAAATTTGGCATTGGCCATATATTTTCGGGAGAACCATGACCAATCCAGCTTCCCCTCCCACCAGTCCAAAGATCTCTCCAGCGATAGACATTAGCCAAATGGATACGGATCCAGACAGTAGCCCACCTAAATCAGAAGAAGTGGTCGCTTCCGTCGGCCAAGAGGTAGTTGATGGCAACCTCCTCCTTCCAAGAAAGTGACTGCATGGGCTCTGATTAGAGACATCTCGACACTTTTTAATTTGTTTTTTGATGTTTGTCTTAGGCTCTTAGCCAAGCCCTTGGTCTCATTATTTTTTTAATTGCTTAATCTTGTTTTGCTTGTTGCTTTATCTTCTTGCCTTTTAATTGCTTTCCTTAGTTTAAAATTTTAGAACCCGTAAAACAATTTTCTCTATATTAGTTTAGATCTCAGAAGTTTAGTGTTACAATCAGTCCCTCTTTGTGGATTTAACCTCGATAATAATACAAAAACATTTAAACCATACACTTGTAGCTAATTCCAATTCGAGTTGAAAACTTGAGCTATCAAGTTTTAAATATAGTTCCCGGACATTAAAATGATTCCAATTACACTTTAGATTCCAGTTGAAACTATATTGCTTTTTTCTTTTTTTCTTTTGTTACTAACGCTTTCTCTTGTTCATGATCTTGATTTCTTAGGTGTATTATATTTTTCGGAGTGAACAAGACATACATCTCTTTCCTTTTGGGGGGAGACATCGATATACTTGATATATAGGCACATTCGACGACAAAGAGAGCCGGTTGAGCACATGAACAAAATTAACATGGATCTAAAACCAAAATGACCAAATCCCTCTTAAAGAGAAAGAATGCAAGAGGGCTTGACTAAATGAGTAGGAATTATGATTTTCATATAATTTCTTAACAAAACAAGTAAGGGACCGGTCCTACTTAACGTTCAGACAAATATCATCTGCATTTATTTGGTCAGCTCTTAGCATTAAATATCAGAACTATTTAATCCCAAATGTTTGGTTTTACAACCGTAATAATTTGGTTTAAACACACAATGAATTCAGATATTTTGCAATTTTTTTTGTTTGGTCCTAAGCATTGTAAGAGATATATCCCATAAGGAGAGCCACCGACGGTGAAATGACAATTGCATGAAAATAGAGTAATAGTACGGTGGAACGAACCCAACAATTTAATGCCCCTAATAAAATCATGTTGACTGTTTTGCATGGTCCTTCACATTCAAAAAATATATATATATATATATATATATATATTGCTTGAAATTTTGAAAATATCTAATAATTATGAAACAAAAATAATCATCAAAAAATCTTATATTATGAATAGGAGAAAATATTTTTGGTAAATTTTTAAAATAAATTTTACCCTACAATAAAAAATAATATTTTTGGTAAATTTTAATGTTAAACAAATATTTTTATATATAGATAACACATTTTTTTCTTGCAAGTCGGCCATCAAATTATCATTAGGCTAAATCCTAACATCTTATACTACACGAAATTTTCTAGACTGAATTAATTATTTACAAACAAAGCTCAATTTTCACTTTTGGAAAACTGATGTTTACGGGTCAGATAACATCGCTGGCCAACTGATTATTTACGTGGTCTGTATTAATGAGTAAATGATTTGTTTTAGTGAATTAACACCAACAAATCAAATAGTCCTCAACGATTTGACTAGAAATTCCACATAAATTCCCATCTATCGGAAAGTTATATTAATGTCATGGGGATAAGATTTGGATACACTTATTCATTTAACGCCAACTCAACCACCATGCTCGTTCTTTGGGACCCATTCAGTAATGAAGCAATTGTAAAACTTGTGACTGTCCTTGTATCGTTGAAATATCTCTATTTACTTATATATACACACATCTTCTTCATTATGTATTCATCAAGTGATATTTGCCTTGTTCAATGGCTTTGCGGTCACATTTCTTAGCTTTGTTCCTTTTCTCGGCAACTCTCTCATCTTGCCTCGTGGTCTCGGCTTCCCTCGTCGAAGGAAAAGTCTCTTGTTTCGACTGTCCCAATGATTATGATTATTCAGGTAAATTCTATATCAACTATTTTGACTAGACATTGTTATAGTTAACACTTAATTATCTACTCAAACACTTGTGACTAGACTTTATATATTTGTTATAGGAATCATGGTCGGTGTTAGCTGTAGTCTCACCAAAACGCATTTCACCGTAACAACCGACAAGAAGGGTGAGTTCATGTCGAAACTTCCCTCAAGGATCGAATCAAACTGTGAAGCAGAACTCCAAGGCAGCTTCAAGCAACTTTATGCATCCAAGAATAACATTAAGTCGAAGATTGTTAAGCTTGATGGTGACAAATATGGTCTCTCTTCAAAGTTGATCTTCTTGAAATCATATCCAAGAAGCCTCGGATCTTTTGGTTCGTCTAAGACCGTTGATTTACCTGTTCCTCCCGAGTGGGGGCTGGCTCCGACCAGTTATTATGTTCCTTTCTTGCCCATCATCGGTATCCCATAAGACACAGTACTGTTTTAATCCTTGTTTTGTGTGTTTCATGTAATATATTCATATTATGTATGTGTAGAGACATGTAACTATCTAAGCTGTTATTTTCAAGTCTATGCTTGAACTGAAGTTTGTGTGTGATCTTAGTGTCTGAAGATGGTTTATGTTGTGACCCTTTTATGAAGCATAATTTAATATGAAATCTGTTAGGATTTGTGTTTACTCTAACAAACAGTAACTACTAGTAATGATGACTCTCACGTGTTTATCTAACTCAAAAAAACTCTGGCTCTAAGCGAAGCTTCTCAATACTTAAAAGTGAACTTAGCTTCTGCTTGAACTATTCTTTTTTCGACTTATTTGAAAATCAACATGGATTCTAACAAATCTCCACCTTAGTCTTCGATACTCATGAGATTTACCTCCCTGGAAATATCGCATAGTATTATGGTTTGTTTTTTTTCATATTAGTGTTACTTTTTATTTTGTGTCCACTGACATAAAAATTGGCTCAGACTGTATCATGCATTAGTCTTCAATGCAAAAAAGAAGTGGGTGGTCTCTACTCTTCAAATAATCCATACAAGAAACATATATATTTATATTATTTTGCTGCTAAACCAGATGACTATGAATATGCTTTTAATTCTCATTTCTGAGCGGAGTTTAGTGTTTTGGTAGATGTTGTCTCTAATTTATGATTTTATTATTGTCTCGTTAGATTTGTATATCACAGCAGTTAAATATTGAGCTGCCAAAATAGGCTAATGGAATTCATCAAGTTTTAACTTTAATACAAAAGGTATCGAGATAGTTTACTTGAGGTTTATTTTACGGCCACGGAAATTTATTTTCCTTGTTAGATTTTAGAAAATGCATACATGAAAACACTTCAACTCAAAGAGTGGGATACACTTTCAAGATTTTAACAACGAGATCGACTGTAACATATATATTAACAACCATTTATAGAACTTTATTTATTTACCGCATAATATGCAGTACCATATTTAGCTTTAACATACACCTCTCTTGTGCTTGAAAGCCTATTTGGCTATCCTTGAGGAAATATATGTATTGGTTCTTGTTTACCTAATTTCTTATGTCGATAGGATGCAATAGATATGCGTATGGAGGAGGAGTACCATATCCACCTTGAGGAGGTGATGGAGTAGTTGGTGTTGGAGGTACTTGTATTGGTGGTGGTTTTATAGGGGGACTGTAAGTTGGTGTCGGAGGCTTGTGCACCGGCGGTGGCTTGACCGGAGGACTGTAAGTTGGTGTTGGAGGCTTTTGCACTGGTGGTGGCTTGACAGGTGGACTGTAAGTTGGTGTTGGAGGCTTTTGGACTGGTGGTGGCTTTATAGGGGGACTGTACGTAGGTGTGGGAGGCTTTTGAATTGGTGGTGGCTTGATAGGGGGACTGTAAGTTGGTGTCGGAGGCTTATGTACAGGTGGTGGTTTAACAGGAGGACTATAAGATGGTGTTGGAGGCTTGTGCACCGGTGGTGGCTTGATCGGAGGACTGTAAATCGGTGTCGGAGGCTTATGTACAGGTGGTGGTTTTATAGGGGGACTATAAGTTGGTGTAGGAGGCTTGTGCACCGGTGGTGGCTTGATCGGAGGACTGTAAATTGGTGTCGGAGGCTTCTGCACTGGTGGTGGCTTAACAGGTGGGCTATAAGTAGGTGTCGGAGGCTTATGTATTGGTGGTGGCTTAACAGGTGGACTATATGTTGGTGTGGGAGGCTTCACAGGTGGTGGTTTAATTGGTGGACTGTAAGTTGGTGTCGGAGGCTTGTGCACTGGTGGTGGCTTGATAGGTGGACTATAAATTGGTGTCGGAGGCTTTTGCACTGGTGGTGGCTTTACCGGGGGACTGTACGTTGGTGTGGGAGGCTTTTGAACTGGCGGTGGCTTGATAGGTGGACTATATGTTGGTGTCGGAGGCTTCACTGGTGGCGGCTTTATAGGAGGACTGTATGTTGGTGTGGGAGGTTTCTGAACTGGTGGTGGCTTGATAGGAGGACTATAAGTTGGTGTCGGAGGCTTATGGATGGGAGGTGGTTTTACTGGAGGACTGTAAGTTGGTGTTGGAGGTTTTTGCACTGGTGGTGGCTTGACAGGTGGACTATAAGTTGGTGTTGGAGGCTTTTGGACTGGTGGTGGCTTTATAGGGGGACTATACGTAGGTGTGGGAGGCTTTTGAATTGGTGGTGGCTTGATAGGGGGACTGTAAGTTGGTGTCGGAGGCTTATGCACTGGTGGTGGCCTTACTGGGGGACTGTAAATTGGTGTTGGAGGCTTTTGCACCGGTGGTGGCTTGATAGGTGGACTGTAAGTAGGTGTCGGAGGCTTATGTACAGGTGGTGGTTTAACAGGAGGACTATAAGTTGGGGTCGGAGGCTTGTGCACCGGTGGTGGCTTGACCGGAGGACTGTAAATGGGTGTCGGAGGCTTATGCACTGGTGGTGGTTTTATAGGGGGGCTGTAAGTTGGTGTCGGAGGCTTGTGCACCGGTGGTGGCTTGACAGGAGGACTGTAAGTTGGTGTTGGAGGCTTGTGCACTGGCGGTGGCTTGACCGGAGGACTGTAAGTTGGTGTTGGGGGCTTGTGCACCGGCGGTGGCTTGATCGGAGGACTGTAAGTTGGTGTTGGAGGCTTGTGCACCGGCGGTGGCTTGACTGGAGGACTGTAAGTTGGTGTTGGAGGCTTGTGCACCGGTGGTGGCTTGATCGGAGGACTGTAAGTTGGTGTCGGAGGCTTTTGTATTGGTGGTGGATATATGGGAGGACTGTAAGTTGGCGTCGGAGGCTTTTGTATTGGGGGTGGATATATGGGAGGACTGTAAGTTGGCGTCGGAGGCTTTTGTATTGGGGGTGGATATATGGGAGGACTGTAAATTGGTGTTGGTGGTGTTGGGTAGCTGGGTGGGGCACCAAAAATTGGTGGCGGAGGTGTGTGACCACTATCAGTCTCATACCTATTAAAGTTTTGTTTCACCGTTGCATCAGCAGAAACTGAAGCACCACTAAGAAAAAGAATGAGTACTAAGAAACTCAAGAAATCTATTAGTGGGACTCTCATCTTGTAAGTGTCTGGCTGAGAACTAAAGATACACACTCGTTTTTGAGGTTATATAATACTCGAAGTTGTGAGATTAGCTGAAACTTGTTGTGAAAGTTTGTTTCTACAGAATATACGGTAGGTTCAAAGACTCTTTACTCTTAGGCCAGCTTTTTGGCTTGGGCAGTTATGGTTCGTGTCAAGAGATCCTTGAATTGCTATGTCCATCTTCTGCTCATCTTTCAAACCCGTGTAACATCACTATCCTAATGCCGTACATGTGTCGTGAGATTTGGTTTAAAAACGTTTCTGATTATGTAATTACTTGTCTTGTTATATTGATTAGATCCCTTAATGGCAGCTTTTAGTTTTGTTTTGTAGTATGGAGAAGATTGGAACAAGCTGGATCCTTGGTCGCTTGTACTTCACTCTTAGGTCTGAATATGAAAACGCCTTCTTTTTCAATTTGATGACTTTTTTAACTTAAAATTATTTTATTTCTCGCACACTGTTTTATTTCTTCAAGCCCCTAGAGTTAAATACACAATTAGTTTAAATTAAGAATAAACTTCAATATTTAGCAGAAATAAAACAAGACTAAGATAATCTTAACCTTGCTCTCATGGATATAATATATATAAAAAATATCTTATAGCAATTTCCTTGTGGAATAATGTTACCACTATGAACCTCTTCCTAATGTCAAGAACTCGATATCATTGAAGAAGAAGACAAAAAAATTATAACAGTTGTTAGATTGCTCTCTTAAGTTTTTTTTTTTCTTTTTTTTTTCTGCCGAATGAGGAATTCAAGGAACCAGATTTGTTGCAGGGAACCTGTAACAGTTCAAATCATTTGTTCTATATACAATAAAATTGTTTACACGTTCAAATTTTATTTGAGATTCATCGACCATTTTATTCATGAGCTCGGTTTTCCTGCCACACCCATCTACTGTCGTCATCTGCATGTTGCAGAGTCATTCCAAGTGTCTTTTAATATTTGTATAGAGTTTATCAAACTTATTTGGAAGTGACTGTTACGTACGTTTCAATCTCAAATTAGGCTATATATTGTGGTTATGGATTGAATTCGAAGTTTTGACATTTTTAACCATATATATCTTTATTTTGATGTAAAAGGATTTGCCTTCTTTATATGATTTCATCTTACTCCAAATTTTAGAGCAAGATCCCTCTAGTTGCCTCCAAAGCAGTTCTTTTTTTTTTGGGCAAAGCAGTTCAATACTAAAAATCTAAAAATTAAAATGACATTCGATTCATTTTTTAAAATGTTATATGCATATGATAAATCCTAAAAACTATAGGATGAACTTTATTCTGAACTCCACCAGATAATAAATTAGCAATATGTTGTCCAAGTTTACAAAACTTTATCTTATAATAATCGAAAAGCTTAAACCTTATAGTGGAATTTTAACGATCAAAATAGTATTTCACTGTCTAAAATAGAACTCTATTTCATAATCTTCTTCATGTTTTACGTAGTTATATGAACCTGATATAGTATAAAGAAGAGTATGATAAAGGGACACGTGGACGGTGAGAGATGAAGCTACAATCAACGGCCACGATTAGAAGCAACCGAAGATTCAACACTTAAATTCAGAAAACATTTCATTTTCTCATAATCGTGAAAATTGTGAAGTTTGTTGTTCTTTCTCTTTGTGTTTTCTGGGTTTGACATTTGATTCATCCTCTGTGAAGAACTTAGGGTTCTTACAAGATGAATCTGGAGATTCCTTGTTTTAGGAACATTGGATCTTCTCCGTTTGAATATTGAATTGAAATTGGAATTGTGTTTGTTGGATTTGGTGAGAATTGGAGTTTAACTGTATCAAAGGTATCAGAGCGAAGACGATTCTCGGTATCCATGGCAGATACGAGATCTAAAAGCTTGTTTGCAGAAGCAATGGTTCGTGAAGTTGACGAAACTTTTGGATCGGGAATAGATAAATTGGAAGAGACAATCGCGGACCAGAATGCGAAGATCGGGGAACGGATTCATGCTCTGCTCTTGTTGTTGCGATCAAGGAACGCGGAGGAGGAGAATCTGCAAGTCAATGCTCGGCCAGCTTCGCCGCAAATTCCAGCTTTCCCGGATTCCAGTCGTCCAAAGCCGAAACCAAATTATGTAATCAAAACTGATACAGAGATTTC